GAAGAAGAAAAAAAGAAAAGCATCAGGCTTGCAATATCCAATTTCAGTGATGTCTTTTTGGATAGCTATAGCAAGGCACTTGGAGAAGGAGAAACCCTGCTACTGAGCTCGTGAAGCTCAGGTTCTGACTCCAAGGGGTATTAGACATGTAAGGACCATAGAGAGACAACTTCCTTTATAAGTCAAGTAATCAAAAACTGAAACTTCTCGGGCTGACCCATCAGCAAAGTCATGGCCACCTGCATTCTCAGACTCTCAGCAGTGCTGAGTACTTGCTCCATGGCCAAGAAGCAGGTTGCTAGCACAGCAGCTCTTCCCCCTTCCCCTCTGGAGCGCTGGCAGGCYGGAGGTGTGCCCTGCATGAACTCAGCGTGGCGAGGGCTGCGGGGCAGCACACAGCCCTGCCACTGCTTTGCAGAGAAAGAACAATGCTGAGGGCTCTGCCTGCTACAGGAAAAACTGTGGCATCCAGGGATTTGTATGCTTCCTTATCACTGTCTGCTTACCATTAGAAAGGTGAGCTGCAAGACAAAAAAAAAAAAAAATGGGGGAGAACTTGTTTTTTTTTTTTTTTAAAGAAGGAACAGATACAGAAGGGTTTGTTTTACTGAATTATTTTTCAGCTGCTGGGTATCACACTGGTCAACTTCTTTTTGCCTTGCTGTCACAATCTAGAGTACAGTAATATCAGGCACATTAATAAACTAATAGCACAACCTGCAAGTATAAACACAAAATAATCATTACTATGTGTCTATGAACAAAGAAGTAAGTACTATTTCATTCTGTGCAGTTATTTCACATGATTCCTGCAAATTTATTGGATACCCTACCTTAAATCCATAAGATTATCCTTTGTAAGGTAAATCCATTGAATTTAATTTATAATCTAGTGCATTGACATTTAGGCACAAAAGTTACTGAACTTTTATCTTTCTCGAATTCTTTTTTTAAATAGGACTTTCAAGACTTGCCTCAATGCTAGCTGCTTTTATGAGGACTAACCTAATTTAACTATGGGCTACGTTGTTCGTACTTGCATTGCAGAAGACGACTCCGTTAGCCAAACCAGCCTGTCCACCGGTTCCTTGTGAGAGGGGTGTGTTTAAGGAAAACCCAGAGCGGTACCACCTTGTCCATGCTGAGCTAGAGCGCGACAGCATTTTCAGAACGGGACACCAGGGAGGAGCTGTGAGCAGTCCCTCCTGGCAAGGAGGGCAATTCCCTTCTGCCCTGCTTCCTAACACATGCACGGCCCTTCGACTTTAAGGGAGAYGGATTTCAGACTAATAAACAAATGATTTATGGAGCAAAAAATCCTGAAGGCCCATGAAAAAAGAAATTCTGCATTGTAGAATTGTTCACTGTATCAAAAAACAAACCTAAAATTTATATCTGCATAAAAAATTTATATACACACTATAATAAAATATATACTTAAAAATCTGCAAATTTGCATCTTTCAAATGTTCACTTATGAAGCATGTAAAGAATATAGGCTATTTCCCCCTCCCCCAATTTTTATTTTTTTTTTTAATTTAAATTTTAAAACCATCTTTATTGTCTTCAGTGGAAAATTTCCAATTTTCACCAGACTAAGTGAAAAGAGAACAAGGCACAAAACACTTTGAAAAATATAATGTGACACTGTATGAAGAGCCTTAAATTAGCTTTTGAAGAGCATAATATATAGCTACGAAACTGTAATTTTTGCCAAAGCTTTGTGGTTAGATCCCATTTATATTTACACGCACTATGGAATAACTAATATAGATGTCTTCCTGACACTAAAGCTTAGGATTTATTGGAAAAGACAAACATGTGGTTGAAAGCTGAGCTAGACTACAGCTTTTCAAAATGAAGAAGAAAAGAAGATAGTTGTAAAATAAACCGCCGCAGTTTACCAAACAGACAACAAAGCTGGCCCAGGGAACAGCAGGGACGTTGATCTCTTAGATAACAGGGAATAGTTGGTACATAAAGAAGTGATTGTACCTGGTATTTTAGGGCTGATTCTATTTGTCTGAAGTAGTGGTAAAGCTTCAGTGAATTAAATAAGGTTTTCTATTTTTTAAAAAAATTCTCAGCATTTTATATTAATTAAAAATATTTTAAAAATCCATTTTATGTGTTTAAGCCCAATAATCAGAAAAATAAGCAGCAGAAAGACCAATGAAAAACCCCAGTTTAAATTTGACTGTATAATTTATCTAAATATGAACTCTCCACCTTGTGCCACATTAACTAATCCTTTTCTATAAAAATAAAACATTCTATACTGAAGTTATATTTTACAAAATAGCCTTCCCCCAAATAAAGTGAGGTACAGACTAACTTTAATAGGAATTTCTTGAAATTATCCAGGACTTTGTCAAATAATTGCTGCCACCGAGCCTCTGCAATGAATACAGTGAAATCCCTACAAAATTACACCTTAATAATGTCTCCAAAGCAAAGGCTGTATGCATTTCTTGGTTATTGTAACACGTACAGTCTAGTTAATTCTGGGAATTGCTTTCACTATTTACTGTCTTTTGATTTAACAGCTTGGTTTTAATGGACGTTTAGGGGATTTGATTCCCATACATTAAAATGTTATGCATGAAACAGCAATGCTCTACAGACTTTGCAGAGTTCAAAGGCAGCCCCAGAATTTTGCTTTCAAGATTTTTTTTTTCTTTGTTTCATACTTGGAGAAAATAGCTCGGCATAGAGATTTACTTCACACTTTTTGGACTAACAATTTTTACTCTACTGGTCTGTTATTCTAGCATATGGTAGGAAATCTTTGTAACAAGCAAAATCGCTATTATCTTCATATAGCACATCCCAGAAACCTACATAATCTTTGCTGTTCTCTTCCTGTCTCCCAAAATGTACAAAATAGACAGAAACTAAAGGCCTGATCTACCTCCACAGAGGGCAGAGTTTCCTGTCAACTTTACTGGTCCCATGCCAGGCAGCAAAGCTGAAAAAATCCTCACAAGTGAGGGCTGTTAAAAAAGGCCTTAGATATTCTCATTGAGTCTGAGGTTCGGCTGTCTGTTACTGATAAATGATTTATTGACATATGGGGGAATTTCCACTACAGAACTGCTCTAACTGCACATTGACATATAATTCTTTTCTTTATCCGACAGCATCTTCTGTGATGTGCACAGGAATATAGAGTTTGGTTTTTTTTTCTTTTTTTTTTTGTCAAGATTCATATGGTCAAGTTTTCTGTCTATTTACTTGCTTAAATAAATGTTTTCAATTTAATAAAACAATTTGTAATGCAAGTTAAAAAATGACTTCTTGAAATAGAAATCATAATAAAAATGCCTTTTCCCCCTCCAATATATTTATTTTAACATGTGGTCACATTTTCCTACATTTTCACATTAATTGAAATCTTATTGTTCTAGAAAAAAATACATCTCTTTGCCTTTCTCTAGTTTCCCAGCTCTTACGCAAATGCAGTCACACACATACGGCCATAATTTGTGGTTTTAAAATAAGTAAAATTGTGTAAATTCACTGTATCTTTAAGAAGCATTATGCCAAGAAGTACTCTCACATAGCCTATGTTTCGTAATTTATTTCTCCCTTCTGTGAAATAGCAACATATGATTATCCTTTTCATTACTAACTGGATTTTAAAAGATGATCTAGAGATTTTTAATTTTGGTCCTTTTTTTCTTTTTGTTACAATACGATCTCACCCTGACGTTCAAAAGGAGCTGCTAAGGCTCTGGAGCATCAGCTGAAGCCCCCAAAAGAGGCAGCGCTCTCCGGGCAAGAAATGCTGTCATTTTATTTGGAAATTAGCAGGATAACGGATTTATTTGACGGGAGGCCGACTGGGAGGAAAGTAGGGGAGATCCAACAGCAATATTGGTGGCTGCTGGTGTCCTCGTACGTAATCCTGGATGTTCCTCCCATCCAGATTCAGACAAACAGTTTGTGAGAAATGCCTATAAATATCAATTCACTTTCAAGAAACTTTTCTTGGTCAGAGAAGCTAAAATAAAGCAGCACAGCAAATAAAACGCAACGCACGCCACAAAGCTTATCTGCTCTCTCCTGCAGAAAGCGCCGTGACCGTCACCACCAGCCGGGGCCGAATCCCCCAGCGCTGTGGCCAGCAGAACAACTCTACAGACTTGAAGCATTTTTTAAAATTATTTTCTCCATCAAAACTCACCAGCGCCCTTCTTCTCCAGGAAGTTGTACCCGTCAGCACCTGCTGAGGGCTTCGTTGACCAAAAGACAGGTAAAAAAAAAAAAAAAAAAAAAAAAAAACTCCTGTAGAATAAAGCCAGACCAGCTGGCTTTGAAGAGGAGCCCCCAGGTTGGGTTGCGTTTGCCTCACTCCCCCTGGGCTGCGCAGCCCCAGGCTTTTTCTGCCTTGGCCGCCGACCCGCGGGCTGCGTGATGCGGCCGCGCAAGTGGCTGGCAGGCCGGGYGGCACCTGCCGCCGTCGCTCCGGGTAAATTTAGCTGGGGAAGGTATCGCTGACAGGCGGACCTTTGTCAGCGCTGGCAGGCGGACACAGGCGGCCCGGCCCCCTCCCCGGGCGCCCGTGGAAAACAGCGGCCCGGCCGCCTTATCCCTAAATCGCTTCTTCGGCAGGGAAAGGGGCAAAATTGCTTGCACATGGCGAGCAAAGTTCCCTCCGTTAGGTAGACGCTAAAATTACATTCCAAGAATAATCTCCGAACAAGACAAGTTTTTGTTCTATTAATTGTGGCTGGAAGGAAACTTTTTTAATGGAAATACAGCACACACATATTTCAATTCAGGTTATTAAACTGTGTTAAGTATTAAAGTTGATTGCCTTTCTTTTCACTAACTCATTGTGCTTTTTTATCCCAAGAAATATTAGAAGACTAAAACCTCTCAAATAGGAGGTATTAATCTCATTCCCAAAATTAGAAAGCATGCAGTGTTGAGAGACTGGATGTCAAAATTACACGTTCATGGCACTTAGGCTCCGGGAATCTAGGAACCAGCCACTTTTAAAATGGAAGCTAAAATACACGGAAAGCCTTTGAGAGAGGAGCAAGCTCAGCCTGCTGTTCTTGTCCTTTCTGGATTCAGGTAAGGGCATTTATCATTTATACCCGACCATGCCTTCCCCCCACCACCCTCCTCCTTCCTGGAAGTGGCTTCTGGAGATGGAAATAGACCTAACTTGCATCACTGCCTCTATCACAGAGTTAAATAAGTTGTCAACAGARGTTTGCCAGGATAGATGCAGCATACCTAGATACTCCATTTTTGCTCGGAAACTATGTCATCAACTCATACAACTCTATGGGGAAAAAAAATCATTGAAAGTATGTCCTTCAGTAGGATATGCTGCTTAAAGGGAGCAAAACCTCCATTTTCAAAAGAGTGATGAGAAAAAGTCTGGGTCAGGAGCGCTTTGTAAAATAAACAAGGTTCCTATTTACTTACTATGTATAAACAACCACTCACCAAGCTGTATGTCTCCGCAGGGGCGCCCTTTCAGAGAAAAACATGGACCTGATTGGCATCATCCTGTATCCATGGAAACCTCGTAAGTACCTCTCTCAATATGTACTTCTCTTATTCAGGGTTTAAAAGCTGAGTACTGAATAAGTAAGTGTTTTTATTTAATAATTATATGGGAGGTACTTTGTGGAAGCTTGGTAAGAGGAACAGGTTCTTGGGTTTTGTACCTGCCATAATAAAGCTCTTAGGGTTTCATCCTATTTGATAAAATCGCAGGTTTCAAGTGTCCCGCCAGCTCTCGTTCTTAGAGAAAAACAACATTCAGGGTCCTAATGAATGAGAACTCTGAACTTTTGATGATCCACTACGGTCTGAAAATAATGATCATAGTTGATGCTCCCTTCAGACTTAGGTACCGCTCTAATTGCAATAAACTGGACTGTTTTTGAACATACAAAAATGAACAAAACTAGTAAGAAAATAGACTCTATTTTCCTTTGAAAACAGCTATAGCCACCTGGCTGTTTAGTAGGTTACAGGACTTAACAGTTCAGCAGTCAGCTTGAAACCTAACCAAAGACTGAAAATAAAGATGGTTTATCACAAAAATATGGAAATGGAAAACAATACTTTTCCTACTAAGGCCTGCCTTAATTTTCCTATGCCTGCCTCACTGCTTAGTTAGAAGTCAAGCCAAAGAACTGGCAGAAATAAGGGATTTTATTTCTCTATATTCCCATGCAGAGAAAGGAGCATAGACACAAACAATTACTTTCCTCCACCCCCAAGTTATAATTCTGAAGATCTACTGCTGAATAAATGTAGTTATTTGAAAGTTACCTTGGCTCACTTTCAAAACTGTTTTAGAATTCAGCCTATCATCTGGTACAAATAATGCTCATTTAAGGTAGTTTGATTTCTAAGTATGAATATAAGTGATTGCCATTCACTCTAGTTAAAAAAATAAAAATATTATTACAAGTAAAATATTACTATACTAAATCATATAGATATAGTTAGTCCTACCTTGATTTTATTGATGAAAGATGCATTTTCTCCACCTGGGCCAAGCTGTAGCACTAAAATGTCTTCTTAATTGCAACTGTTATCAGAAAAACAAATTTCTATCTAGAAAAATCCAGTAGTTCTCACTGAAATCCAACTGGTTTAGAGTCTTGGTTTGCTAGGTTTATATCTCTGCATATTATTTTCATTTACGCCTGTTATTGTTTTTATTTGCTACCTTGTCTCAACAACCCGGTCCCTGCTGAGTGCAGATGGCACAAATGATCTCTCCACTGATTAGACTGGAACAGCATTTGCAGACGCTGCATGTAAAAACTTCCCTGATGAAAATTGTTACCTTTTCACATGCTAGGCTCTCCACATCAGTCCTAYACATCTGCTCGTGCGTGCGAATACAAAAGTGTCAAGGCTGTAAGTTCGGTGATTTTGGTGTGGGCTGAACCTGTTTGACTTTCTGTGATAGCTCTGGTGGGGGATCTGTGTGTGGGCTGGCCCGTTTGCCCTGCAGACGCTGCTGGGGATGGCCACGTGAGACCCGGGATTGGGACTGCGCTCAAGAACTTGYACTCTGAGCCAAGGGAGCATATCCGAGCGGTGAAGCTCCCAGCCTCCAGGGAAGGATGCAGCACGCATGGCCATTTCGTACGGCTCCCTGCCATCATGTGGTTATCCTTGCTACAAGGTCAAGGTTGCTGGGAAGCAGCCTGAGACTCTAGCCCCAGCTCAGCTCTCCGCGAGTTCACCCTGGCACAGGCAGGGCAGCTCTCACCTTGTTCAGCATCTTGAACAAATAAACTTCCAGTGAGGTACTTGAATTGCTCAGCTATGCTGCAAAAATGCACTGGGCACAWGCAGGGCTTGATCTTGCCACACTGAAATCAGGGGAAAAGATTTGCCCCTTTTGTCACTATGCTGCGGGCAAAAAATCTCAGTCTTCAGCGCCACACATCTTGTGAGAATAAGGGATAAGGAAACAAGATAATGGTATCATTTGGGCACATAAATCTTCATCTAAGTAATATATTCTCAGCTTTATAATTTTTAGCTTTTTAATCCAAGATGTCTTTTTCTCTAGCATTTGTTAAAGAATCACTTCCAAAATGCTAGAAAGTCAGCCTGAGCATATTGCAGATAAAATCTGTCTCCCTTCTCCATCACGTAAAATAGAGATACAACATTTGGCCTAAATTCAGTTTTTCAGGTGCTAAAAAGCTATGACAAAACTGCACAGATCGTATGATAATGGGCATATTATACAACTCCAAATCATCCTCATATGCCCAACTTATTACTACTATTTTAGTTTGCTGTAGACCAATTTTATAGCACTGTCAACTTACACAGCACTTTATAAGCATAAAAGTTCATTGAATGCTCACTAAATTTACAGGTCAAATACGGCAGTACAAGCAAGTGTGGCAGGGAAGGTGGAAAGCATTTCTTTCTTTTTTCTATTTTTATTTTTAATATTTAGAATAATTAAGAATATTTAAGAATAGGAGAAAAAAATGAGCTGCATTGTTTCAAGGTTCTTAAGAAACAGAAGCAGACTAAGATGTGGGCAAGGACTTCTCCAAATAGCACCTCCTGCTATTCTGGAGCAATCAGGGAGAAAACGGGCCAGAATTTTACCATCAGAGAGACACAGCTGAAAAGGACGAGATGAGAAGCCTGCCTGACTGAAAAGTAGCTGCGYTCGAGAAACTTGTGCTCAACGATGAGGTCTCATCCTTGTGGACCGGACTTAAAGAAATCCAAAGGTAGAGGTGAGAACACAGAGTCAGGAATCTGCTTCCTTTAGCGGGAGTGGACAAACACGTGCAAGGAAATACAGTTACAGTGGCAATTTGATGGAATATGAGACCTCTGGTTCATAGAGTCAGTCATGAATGTGACTAACTTCAAGCTYCGCACTCAACATGCGTGTCTGAAGTTGCACATGTCCTTCCCTCTATTCCTGTGTACCATCCTAAAGCAGGAGGAATGTAAACCTACATTTGGCAAGCAAGAGAGTAGGCAGCGTTAGGCAGGTTTTCCTAGGAGCTGGAATTCTGTTCGTGAAGCAAGGAAGAAAAAAAAATGTTTTTTAAATTAGGAGATATAGAGACTATAAGTGAGGAAAGAGAATTAATACATTTAATACAGATGGAGGAAGGAAGTAGGGGAGGACTGAGAAGTAAAAGAGTGTTTAGGTGGGAAGAATTTTGTTTGAGGCAGTGGCTGGTAGCCAAAGGGAGGTGCATGCAGTGTTAGAGAAAAGGAGAGTGTCAAATTTGGCATAAAAGCAGCTGAAGGAATGGAAGATAATTTCTCAGAATGGGGAAAAGATAAGCATTTGGGATACAATTCTCTACTTTTCTACTTCTAATGTCCTAATGTCATTTTTWAAAAAAAAAAAAGAAATGGGRAAAAAAAAGGAATTTTTCAAAAAAGACCATTTAAACCAGTGACAGGGAAGGTAGACAGATGCACAGGAAAAGAAACTGGACTTRCAGGGAGTTGCCAGTTCTACTGAAAGGCTGTGCCTAAAAATGTTGTGTACACGTGTAGACATGCACATTAAATCTCCCTATTTCTTGTTTTTCTTTAGAAAGAGCTACGTGAAGCAGTTACTAACCTGGGCACAGGAAGCAGTTTTTGACACACACCCCATAACATCAGGTCGGTGCTCGTGCGACGGGCACAGCGGAAAGGCAGGAAGGGGAGAAGGGACACGGTAGCGCCCGAGCCAACCTGCCCTGCGCGGCAGCCGCTGTGCCCTGCGCTGCTGCGCTCAGCGCTGCCTCTCTCGCATGAAGTTCACGTACCAGCATCAGAGCACAGACTGCCTCAGTAAGATGGGCTGTTCCAGGGCCTACAAAGATGTAACGTAACGTTAAAATACACGTGCCTTCACTTTAAAGGCTCTCCAGGATAGTGGCGGTAGAGAAGAGAGGATAACTTTCCCAATAATGTTTACAGCAGAGCAGTTGCATTAATTATACGCTATTTTAAAGTAATAATAAATTAATAGTGACCTTCTCTTCCAAAGGATGATTTATTGCAAACTGATCTGCTGTTTTCTATAACTGTTTTACATATTAGTTGCCAGTAGAGTTGCCCAGGAATTAAAATATAAATATGACAGAGCGTGAGTCATAAATAGTGTGTCTAAAAGCAAAAAAATCAAAATGTTACAAGTTTTAAAAACTAAAGCATAGTGCAGATCAGCAATATGGTATATTGTCAAATTAATTATTTTAAAAGAAATATTTAGAATAAATATTGGAAAGGCTCAGTGGAATAGAAGGTTTCACTTAAATTATTTTTTGCATGAATCTGAGAACATTAACTCCTGTACTTGCAAACCATTTTTCATATTTTGCTATTGCCTCCCAGGCTTCTGTAAACTCCWCTTTTATAAAAATGTTCTGTTAAATGAGATTAGTTTTACCTTTGTCTTAGTGTTCCAACAGAAGGTACTTATTAGTAAACAAGTAAATAGATGTCCTGCTTACTTTAAGTATGTCCTTTCATATAATATGAAAGGTTGCTTTGAAAAATATATTTGAGGTGGTCTGGTACCACAACCATGCATAAGGTTGCCTGATATTTCTCTCTTTTTTTAATTGCAAGTTGCCACAGTTTAATCACTAAGCTGGAGAGTTTTCCTTTTGGGATATATGTCTTATCCCAAATTTTGTAGAACAGTCATTCGATATTTGAAATAAACAGTAGGAGAAATAGTCTAGTTCATAAATGMTAAAAAGTTATAACAGTTTTGCCAATAACTTCTGACATCTACAGAGTTTGGAATAACAAAGTAAGTTTATCAGGGACAGTCTTAGGGATGTATCTGGCATCAGCCTGCTCGAATAGCATGTCTACCAAAGAATTCCACCACGAAAACACCAGGTCACGTATGCTTGTTTGAGACTGCAGTTGAGAATTTGGCACCAAAGAGGAGGAGGAAGTGATTAAAAACTGTTGGCATGACTGTCTGCAAAGAGCCAAATTAGAGCTGCGCGGGAACTAATTTCGATATCCTGATATTTTAAGCACTGGGCATTCTTTTCTTATAGAATCTGAGGGTTTAGTAAGGCATATGTTGAACTGCATATATCTTGCCCTCTATAGAGAACAGATGGGTCAGCTGCTGGTCCTTCCCTTATGTGCTCACTCCATTTCCAACACAAAAAGATAAATGTATATAGGTTGTTCTTTCTCTCTTCACTCCTCCCGTTTCTCCCTCTTTCACTCACTTTCAAAAATTTATGATTATTATTTTTTAATCTACTCCTTGGTGTGCTAGGGGGAACAGCCCTCATGGACTTTTGCTTTGCCCCAGCTCTTAATGCTGCTGAAAGCATTGTCCAGTCTTCAAAGTAACAGAGAGAAATTTCTGAGAGAATTCTTGAATCCTGAAGAACCAAGTAGTGCAAGAGCCACTTGTATGTACACAGAATGTAACTCTAATCCTCTGTTTTTTTTGGCATTAATATACTATATTCACTGAAACTGAGACAAAACTGCTGCCTCTAAGAGCTACTGATTTGGACAATTATCCAAAATCAGATTATAATAAATGGCAGTCTTAGGCATTTTGATTAACCTCTAAATAAATGTTACTTTGGAAAAGCCCTGTCAAAGGCATTAATGACAAGTTGTGAAGTAGTAGTAATTGCAGGCATGGCATTATAGATAACATAGTTAATTGATACCACCCTCTCAAACATGTATAGCACATCAGCTGCCATGAAGCTGGAATGATTATAATAGTATTTACAACAGTTTAAATGTATTAAATAGGACATGTGTAAAATGAAAACTTGGGGTGTTTATTAGGATCATCCCATATGGTCATTTGATGCCTTTACTTTGGGTAAACGTATTTTTAAGTGTTGCTCAGTCATTAACACTTCCAGCCTTCTGAGGAGGTAAGTATATAATGATCTGCTCTAATTAGCCTTTATGGGAATGTCATATGCTCCAGGTTGAAGACTGTTATTAACTAGAAAGAGACCTGGTTCCTTTCCCTCCCTTCCCCTGCAAGTCGGTACATATTTTTTTGGATGACATGGTTGGTTTTCCATTATACTTAGCTCACTATCATTGTTATCATAGTCTAGTAATGCAGTAGTAGTGTGTTTTTATTTTTTAAAGGAAAAAGTTAACAAAACAAATCTGAAAGTGCACATTCTTCTCTAATTATATGGATTCTTACTTCATAGAAAACATTTAGGAGGAAGCTGCCTAAGGACTTCAGCTGAGATGTGTCATAAGATGACTAGTTATGAAAGAAGGAAGACTGCCCTTCTCCTTTTCTCCCATAATCAAAGACTGTTCCTGTTTTTAGCTCATTGCAATTGTAATCTGTAACTCTAAATAGTTCTGCTCTTATGGAATGATTTAATAATTAATTTAATAATGTATGTAAAGTATTTCACATTGGTCCTTTGGGCA